TGAATAAAACACTTTTACGTAAATGAAATGTGAAAGTAAGCATCAAATGGTAAATAATAAAAAATATGCTAGTAGCATACAGGATACTTTATGGATTCATGTCGAAATCTGTGCTTTCTTACATAATTATAAATATTATTTTAACCAAATGAACAGAACAAACCTCTAAGTCCATCAAGCATCTATATGATAGCGCCATCAGGGCTACTAAGGCAGCACCAGTAATAAGATTCCTAGGATCCCACCCACTGGTAATGAGTGGTATGGACCCCATCTGCCAGTCGTGACTAAGAGTCCAAGGACACAGAAGCAGCCACCAATTGAAGGCTGCTAAATAGCAGAACGTCATTAATCTGAAAGAATTTAATATTAGATGGTATTTTTCTACTAGCTATATAAACAAAAATCACGCCCATCAAATAAGACATAAATATACTTCTAAAATACCTGACGATGAAGGATGGATGAAACGCCGGTGGGTTATCTTGAGGTGAGAATGCTGGTAAGGATCCTTGAAGTAAGGCGAGCCTTGCGATGGCTAACATGATCAAGACTATGAGACCTTTGCTCAATCTACTCCACAGACCTTCGTGACGCCAACGAAATTTCGATGGGGACCTGTAATTGGATACATGTCAAAACAATAGAGGCATAAAGTAATTTATACTGATGAATTCTGTGACTCAAAGAACAACAGAAAATCTATTAAAACTATTCCAAAGTAGATGTATTTTCAAACTGTAAGTTTTTAAAGAAGTTGCGATTCTGTATTTTAGTGTATAAAAAGCTACTTACTAAAGTTTTTAAGCAATGTTGCTTCCGATCTGTTTATATTTTTTAACATTTATATTGCAAACTAACTTTTAATTATTCACAAAGCTTTCTCAGAGCATGAGGAGAGGCAAGTGAAAATTAAGGAACATTTTAAAGCTATTACGCTGTGCTTTAATTGGACAAAATATATATAAACGAGGGCAAAGCAAGTATACTGTACATACTTTAAAAATATTCAACGATATTCCTGGAAAATTTAGTAGCTTCCGAAAGGCATATTAAAATCATGTGCTCAAATTGCTATTCCATTAAAATTAAGAAAATAAAACCATTAAAATAATGAAAATATATCGCTGTGAAGGACAAGTATTAGATTGATTTGATATATCTCTTTAACTTTATATATATTATATCATATGAGGAATTAAATAAAGCTGGTTTTTATATGATAAATTAAAGATTAACAAGTCATATATACCTCGTGAGTGAGCTCCAACTTCGATAAATATCAAAAACTAAATTAAAAAGCAGCGCAGTCAGTCCCGTCTCCTTAGCCAGCATACTGAGACCAGCTAACACAACACTTGACCACACACGCCTGCGACTAGAAGATCTGGAAATTTATACAAATTTAAATAAACCAAGTTTGCAAATTCCATTCCTTTACAAAAGTATTATAGAATAATGAGATCTCAGATTTTCGCGAGTACTCATTTAAATGAAACTAATATTTTCGGATTTTACTTCGCGTTTTAATTTTTAATTACAAACTACATACTCCCGACGTTTCGGCTACTTTTCAGCAACCGTGGTCAAGGGCAGACGAGATGTGAGTGTCTGTCAGATGGTCTTGTTATTTTATCATCTACCGCCATCGATTTCTTAATTTTCTAGCGTACCGCTCTGGATGCCGGCAGAATGCGCTCACGGTGTCTCGAGGTCCTACGGTGTGGTCAGGGACATTTGATTTTATATTTTTAAGAAGAGGATCCCAGGTGTTTGATAGGTTATAGCCATCTTCTGTATTGAAATTGGGGTGTTTTTTTAATTTAATAGCCTCTCGGATTTATCAAATCTAATAAAAAAATAATTAATGCGCATAAATCAAAATATATGATAATGGGTAGCAAACATCAACGTGAATGTATTAAGGGACATAATCTACATATTAAAATAGGCAATGAATCTTTAGAACAAGTAAAAGTTGCAAAAAATCTTGGTCTATACGTTGACGAAAATCTCAGATTTATAGAACATCTAAATCTGAAAACAAAAAATGATTTTTATAAATTAAAAGTTCTATATAGCTTGAGACCTTTCATGTCTGAGAAAGTGAGAGTTACCTTGATTGAGTCACTTATTTTATCGATTTTTAATTACTGTGACACAGTATATGATCCCAGATTATTGAAAAAGACAGAAAAAGCTATACAAAGAGTTCAAAATGCTTGCAATAGGTTTTGTTTTGACGTACCTAAGAGCTCATATATATCTCCTTTTATTAATTGTCACAATATTTTAAACATGAAATCCCGTAGGAACCTTCATTTACCAGTATTTTTACATAAAATTGTGCGCAGCAAAAAGCCGAATTACTTATATCAAAAGCTTGACTGGCTAGAGAATAGAACAGACAGGAGTGTCCGAGAAACTGAGAAGCTTAAACTATTAATACCCAAACATAAAACAGCAGGATTTAAAGGTGCTTTCAAATATGCTGCAGCAAAAATTTGGAATAACCTACCATCTCCCCTACGTGATTGTCATTTTTCAATTATAACTTTAAAAAAACACCTTTAAGAAAATTACCTACGTCTACAAGTAGAAGCAGCTACGTAAGAAAAACAACTTTATGAATGAATGCGAATGAACCAAAATATGAAAGAATAGAATCCTAAAAACTTAAAAGACTCTTTATTTTTATTTAATCATAGTTTAAATTGTCGTAATCTTGATGTACACATAAGAGTTATGGTTGTTATGATGCGAAGATGTGGGTCCGTGTATTAAGTTTTTGTCGTTCTTTTAATGTTTAGTGTTAATTTAAATTGTTTATTTACTTCTTTTTGAGTTCTATAATAATTTCACCGGTCTCTTTTTTACTTGCTTTTAAATCAGTTTTTATTTTGCATCACTTTAATATTTTACGGAACGGTGCGGCGCATTTAACTAAGGCAACATAATGTAGAAGGAGCAAGCTGAAAATCAGCTGGGCATAGCACAGCATATAGCTGAGCTTGTAACCAATTGCGATATGGTCGTCAATGAAAACGAGTGGTAAATTAAGAAAAAAATGTTTGCCAGTATGAATAATTTGTATCTCCTAAAAATATGTATGTTTCTCTCAAAAGTTACTTTTTAATGTACGACCTATCTGAAGCAATAAAGTTTTTATTATTATTATTGTTATTAATGTAATGGCCTGGTTTGTCCAATGCATGTTCACACACAGATGACTTCGAAGCGCGCCTATTCCTGACGTCTGAGATGTTAAAACCATCGGTGATTCAGTAAACAATGTAAATAATATGAGTTATATTAAGAATAAATGCCACATAAGTAATTGCGATTCACAGCTTTTAGTGTTTCATAATTTAATATGAGATAAATACTGAAGAGTTACAGAATTATAGATTTATTTAGTAAATAAAATAAAAATGCTTTTGGACTATAAAAAACATTTACATGTATTTAACAATAAACCATAAAAATGTCTCCAATCAAATATGCACTTTTCCTAGTTGTTATTGGAACTACACATTGCTAAAGTGAAAGGTAAAATGGATATGGAGGCAAAAGTTTGGGCCATAGTATAATTTGTAAAAAAAGAGTTAGTGTTGGTGAAGTGTAATAAATAAAAGTCATTGTATCTACTATAGGTTGATTTAGTTAAAGTCATTGAGAACTTTAGACGACTATTCAAGATTATGTCTTACATTTTGGTTTCAATTAACTATTACCTAACATATTAAAGTTGACTCAAATGAAAAAGATTCTTTATACACTTCATGACGATAGAAAAGTTGTATTAAAAGTTTTTTTTTACACTTGCTTGTAGCCTCATAATTTAGTCACTGAATTATATAAAATACCTAGATTTGTCAACCAATATTTTTGTCTAACAACCTCATCTATATAAGACCAAAAGTTTATTTGTAAATGGTTCAAATAAAATCAACTGAATAGTTTTTTATAATTTTGTCCTTATATCAGAATAACATGCAATTTATTACAACACTTGTAATTTCCGTAGTTACCTACGACTTGTAAATAGTTTCGTGGTATAGATCATAAATGTCACTGCCAGTTGTTTAACTGTGTTTTTGTTTATTCTTCTTGACTTTTGAGATAGAAAAAGCTAAGTCAAAAGTCATCGATATTTAGTTAAAATTTTAATATAAAACTCCAACTTGAAATATTAATCAATAAAAAGATTTTCCTTAGCACCAACATTTACACTCATTTCTTTCTTTTAAAATGTCTATAATATGTAGGGTCTTAATTTTAGGTAATAGAGTATCAATCAACTGATTTATAAACATTTTTATACCCAATACTTATATGTAGATGATTAATTATTTAGGTCATCTCCATAAGGACATTTCTACTTACTTTTATAAATAACGAAAAATGTCAACAGACAACCACAATTTTCTATTCAACATTCTAAATGGAGCTTCCATTTTTACAACTACTTTTTATATCTAAGAGAGGTTTCTGTAAAGAAAAAAAGGTATATATTTTATTAACAGATTTTATTTCACGAAAAAGTAACAAATACTTAGATGTTTTCAGCGAAAGGTATGTTTTATTATTGTGTATCATTATGCTGACATAACTGCACTATTATGTTCTAAACACAAGATTGATTAGAAGCATAACATAATTGTCAGGTATATGGAGAGTATTTTTGTAGACGGTAATGAGATATTATATTAATACAAGATATTGTTTGACTTAATATTAAATATTTACAGTATATTTAGTGTACAATTAGTTAATCAAATTGTTTGTGATCAAGTTAGTTAGTAGAACTATAATTCCAGACGTTTTAAACCCGCACATTAAGTTCCGTACATTATCACCATGAATTAATACATCGATTACTTATATTATTCTAAATATTTATTTTATATACATATATTTTACAATTCCAGTATGGCACGCAGTTTCATAACTATAAACATTGTCGATAAATAAACATGAATAAAATAATCTTTGGTAATTTAAGATGTTTTTATCAAATCGCTAACAAGCGGCAGAGGATCTGGTTCTTTTATTTTGTTTTTCTTATGTAAAGGGCTACTCTTCTGTTTGGGTCCCGCCTCGGATTTATTATGGATAGGTTTGTATTGAGCAGATATTGATACGCTTTTTTTATTATCTAATTTTTGGCAACTTGTGTTTATATTTAAATCACTGGATACAGTTATTGTTCTCGTGTGTTTCACTACACTGTTTTGTTTTAACTTCTCCGGCGACACTTCTAGTTTACTGTGATGCAAACAAGTGGAGGTCATCTGAAATTAGAAATGAATCAAATTAAGCATTAATATAACAATATCCTTAACAAGAATATTAATATTGATAAAAAATTCTATATTTTCGCAAAAATATACAGCAACAATGATTATCAAATGAAATTCAAATGATTTATTAAATGAAGTTTACCATTTAGTTTCTATAATTTTGATAAAAAAGATAATGTCATAGGGACTAATTTAGGCTACTTTTAATGGACTTCCAAAAGTGTGAAGTTCTAATTCCTATATTTCTTACGTTAAAACTTCTTCAATTAACCGTCAACTAAATAGAAATGACTTTGTAATTTAGACGACATCAAATCAGGATACAACGAAGGGATCTTTGAGAAATGGAACTAAAACCTCATAAGCATGATATCGCCTATCTCAGAGAGAGTTTAATTTGCCAAATTCACAGGATACAACCAATAATATCTTCATATATATTAGCAATGTATCGTAGTAAAGTATAATATGTATAATATTACTACAGGAATCCTCGCGTATCTCGCCGCTCGTCCTTGCAGTTCACTGCGGAGTCTCCAGGCCGCGGCTGCTGCTCGACGTCGAGACGCTGACACCTCACCACCCACGAGGGTGTGCCAGCTGGAAGATATTAGAGTTTGATATACGAAGTAGTATTAAACTTTCATAGAAAACATAATAAACTAACATACACATACAGCCTTGGCCAAAAGTATTAGGCACCCAAAAAAAAACTTACAACTATAGATCAAAACAACTTTTACTTTTCAAAGCGATTTATTAATACATATTAATAACATATAAAAAAAACAAAAAAAACTTAAAATCAAGTTGGTCCACCTTTAGACTCAATCACTGCTGCAATTCTATGAGGCATGCTCGGAACAAATTTAGTGCAGTCATGCCTTGTAATGGAAGCCATTCTTGCACCAACGCATTTTATATGTATCGTTTCTTGACTTGAATTGTATGAAGTCATGTATCATATTCATAAAATTTAATAGTTTATAGAAGACCAAGTGGTATCGAACTTATTTTTAAATATGTATTATTTTATAACCAAAACCTAAGAGATAATAAAGAAGGTTTAATGATAAAAAACTAAAACATTTTAATTATATGTTATGATGTGGTTATAATATTCCCGGGAAGATACATTTATATTTCAGTATCACGATTACTGGAATAAATCAAAAAATTAACTATACAGATTCCTATAGAAAAAATTATGCAGACTTTTGAATAGAATCTAAATTAACAATACCCCAAGATGACATACGATCAGGATGAAGCTCTTATTAAAAAAATGTTCTTTAATATCCTCTGCTATAAATATTACCTTGTCGTTAGCTGCAGAAGTCTCACTCGTTGACCAGCCGACCTTAATAGGAGACAGGCTGCCCTTAGCGGTGGTAGCGCGCCACGAGACAGTAATGACACACGGATGGACCGTTTATAATACGAGAGAGATAATGGCCAGAGACCTGAAAGAATATTTAGTATATTATAGATACCACATTAAAAGAGTTTCACGAGTTGTGTACATGTTAATTTAAAAGAACAGTTCTTTTAAATCGACGTCACAGTTGGAACCAAACAAAAGTCTAATTTCACGTGAGTAATATCTATTTTGATCAAGTATAATATATATTAATAAATTTATTAACTATAACAGATCTGAGTTATGAAAACGATTAATCTTGTTAGTTGTTAAATTTATTGAACATATCGTCAACCTATAATATTTATTATTGAGATTGAAAATTGCAGATTTAAATAACAAACTGTCAAGACGAATAATGTTATTAGAAAATTATCTGTGATTTTTCTAGTGGTTATTTTATGTATATTATAGTTTTTTATAAAAATAATATAATTGGTGTAAATAAAAAGATAATTAAATTTGCAGATTATTCGCAAACCAAATTTGAAAAAGGTATTCTAACAAGATAACCACGCTTAGTAATTCATTAGTGATGATAACTTTAAATAGCATATAGACCTTTTATGCTATTTTAGTAAAATGGAAAATATTTTCATTATAACCTCTTCCCTTCAGCCAGTTTCCATACAAGTAGTAATGTTCCCAATTCATCGGTTCCAATTCAATCAATCTCTCAAGTGTGGGTCTCTTCTCGTTTTCGGGAGTAATGTGAAGAAGTTCAATGTACGCCTGAACGAACCTCGGCTCCAAAGATATACATCGTTCCAACATCTTTAATGATTCAGAAACGCGATTCTTTTTCCTGTAATTCTTAACCATTTTATTTAGCAAATGTATTCATATTCACAAATGTATTGAATTCTTTGGTTAAAGTTTATTACGGTAAAAAACGTTGCAAGTAAATAAAAAAAAACGCGAAGTAAAAATCCGAAAATATTAGTTTCACTTAAATGAGTACTCGCGAAAATCTTAGATCTCATTACCATTGCAAGTTATTTTTTGAGTTAAGATTGTATTGAGTTTTCCCTATACCTAATTACTAATTCAATGCCAGTAGTTTGTCTTAGCTTGTTTGTTTAGTTAATATAATCCTCCGGCATGATAGAAATTGAGTTATCCTCAAAGTAAATAAAGCTGTTATCAGTTATTCCTTGCATCTATTAATATTATAACTCAGTTCCTCTCTCGTGTATACAACCTGTTTATCTTTAGCGTTACATATGAATTTATTTAACATAAATTGATTTGGCGCAAACATATGTACAGTGCAACCCTAAAGTTAACGGAAAAACAACAAAATTTAATGAGATCTAAGACTTTCAAGAGTATTTATTTAATTTAAACTAGTATTTTTCGTTTTAATACTAAATGTCTCTGCTGTCCGTGAACATGTTTACTGAAAAGTGACCGAAACGAAGTAGTATGTGGTTTTTTAAAATAAAATACGCGTAGTAATCCGAAATATTAGTTTCTTTCAAATAACTAAATTTATAAATGTGTTATAATTAAATTATGATAAGGATTCTGAACTGAAAACTGTTTCATTTAAATTTAGCGAAATTCCTGTTATTATTGATTATTTTTATATAAAAAAAACATGAAAGTTATTTATTTTTATAAATTTGATAATAAATAGTTGACGACGACGTTTTTGTTGCAATTTCGATGAATTCAAACGATTTTGATAGTTTCATTTAATGATTGTAACAGTGATTACCGATATAATTTGGCCAGGTTGTAATGAGCATTCACGTGGTCCTTATTGTATTTAAGAGCTTGTAGAAAATGATGCTCAGCTCGACCGGACGCGAGGACTAACGTGCCTAGATTATTGTGAGCACTCGCGTAACTTGGCCATAATCTGAAACAGAAAACAACAACATTTTCAGTACAAAATATATTAAATAAAATTAATAGATAGGTTTATTACTACGTACTTAAGCGCTTCTTTATAATGTTTTATAGCGTTCTCCTGTTGCTCGATGTCTTTTAAAAAGTTCGCAAAATTATAGTGCAATTTTGCATTGTGTGGCAAAACCGCTAGGTCCGCTCTGCAATTCATAAATAAAACAGTTGATGTTAAAAATGAATTCGTAAAACAATGTAACAGTAAAAGAAATATCGACTTTTTTACTCTACTACTAAGTGAATAAAATGTTTCCTTTGATAAATTAAATGATAATCTTTTTAATAATTCAGTACACAAAAGTATTTAGATGAGAAAAATACTTATTTTATTTCAATATTATTTGTGTTATTTCTTTTAACTGTTAGTAGGAGTAAATACTAATAAATATGTTTTGCTCTCAATCTTCATATTTTATATCGTAGACGTATGAATATAAATTAAAAATGTCTCAAAAAAGATATATTATCTTGTTACCATCTGTGGTCGTTTATATACTAAATGAGATTTTACATAAATATGTAAGTAACACATAAACACATATTGTCTTCATAGAGTACAATAAACAGTAGGTGTATAAAAGGTTCTACCAGTAATGAAAAATGAAAATCAGTACCACAATACAAAAATTAAAATAGTTTATCTAATAAGTCGTTTAGCGTCATTTTTTTAGACAATGTTTAAAATTAAAGATATTAAATTAGTGTTGTTTTTATTTTTAAATAATTTGTAATTAAAAACTACACTGTATAATTATATAAATTATTCATATATTGACATCTCTGTAATTATGAATAGACTTTTAATACGCAATAATAAACAAACGATGACCAAGAACTATAAATAACTCAGTTGAAAAGGATGTAAGACAAATTCGCTACTATTATAATAATGGGCAAAAATTCGCTTTTATCTTTTTTATCCTTACCTCAACAGTGTTTCCCTTGTTCTCCAGTCTCTATTCCTATCAAAGGTCCTCGCAGCGCCAGCGGCCACAAGTATTGCCAGTCCTAATGCCAGCCACCTTCCACCTCGATGACACAATATTTGTACACCGTACACCGTCAGAAGAACTGATCCTACACTGGAAATAAAGAATCAACCAGTAAATAATAATTATTTGTGTTTAGTTTAAAATCCTTATATTAAAATACTATTGCTACCAAAAATAACGTCTTCAATTTAAATGAGATGAGTAAGTTGATTTAAAAGGTCCAAATATATTGATGGTTGTTCAAACATCCGGATTAGAAACTTAAAATGTATATTTTTTATATTATTACTATCAATAACGAAGTAATATGTTTTATAAGTGAAATTATAATTTTCTTACCTAGGTATATAGAGAACGCGTTCAGCTACAACAAATCCTACAGTGACCAGTAGGTTGGATGCTGGTAGATATGGGATTACAAGGAGCATCAATCTCACTACGAGAGGAGTGTGTCTCTGAAGCTTTAGAAGTAAAACAGATGTTTTAATTACGGTTTATTTAATTTTGTTTCTTTGAATACAATTGAAAATATATTGGTATGAATAAAACACTTTTGCAATATAAATGTGAAAGTAAGCATCAAATGGTAAATAATAAAAATATGCTAGTAGCATACAGGATACTTTATGGATTCATGTCGAAATCTGTGCTTTCTTACATAATTATAAATATTATTTTAACCAAATGAACAGAACAAACCTCTAAGTCCATCAAGCATCTATATGATAGCGCCATCAGGGCTACTAAGGCAGCACCAGTAATAAGATTCCTAGGATCCCACCCACTGGTAATGAGTGGTATGGACCCCATCTGCCAGTCGTGACTAAGAGTCCAAGGACACAGAAGCAGCCACCAATTGAAGGCTGCTAAATAGCAGAACGTCATTAATCTGAAAGAATTTAATATTAGACAGTATTGTTCTACTAGCTATACAGGGTGACTGGTGATATTTGAGGACGTGATATTTGACGATCATATATGACAAAATAAAAATTAATATAACATAAATATTAATAAACTTCTAAGTAAAGTTAACCAAAAGTTATGTAATTAATTACGCGTCGTGTGCACACCCTACAGATTAGGTATACACACACACACACATACGCGTGCGGCGGCGTAGTGTTGTATCATCACGCCGCCGCACGCGTCCACACTTGGAACACTTGGAACGTGTCCACACTTTATTTATTTATACGGAAATTTGGTCAAAAATTAAGTACCTATTTATTTTACATAATTCCAATGAGAATCATGTACTGAGTATTCTCCTTAAATATTGATAGTAATTCACCAGTCACCCTGTATAAACAAAAATCACGCCCATCAAATAAGACATAAATATACTTCTAAAATACCTGACGATGAAGGATGGATGAAACGCCGGTGGGTTGTCTTGAGGTGAGAATGCTGGTAAGGATCCTTGAAGCAAAGCGAGCCTTGCGATGGCTAACATGATCAAGACTATGAGACCTTTGCTCAATCTACTCAACAGACCTTCGTGACGCCAACGAAATTTTGATGGTGACCTGTAGTTGAATACATGTCAAAACAATAGAGGCATAAAGTAATTTATACTGATGAATTCTGTGACTCAGAGAACAACAGAAAATCTATTAAAACTATTGCAAACTAGATGCATTTTCAAACTGTAAGTTTTTAAAGAAGTTGCGATTCTGTATTTTAGTGTATAAAAAGCTACTTACTAAAGTTTTTAAGCAATGTTGCTTCCGATCTGTTTATATTTTTTAACATTTATATTGCAAACTAACTTTTAATTATTCACAAAGCTTTCTCAGAGCACGAGGAGAGGCAAGTGAAAATTAAGGAACATTTCAAAGCTATTACGCTGTGCTTTAATTGGACAAAATATAAACGAGGGCAAAGCAAGTATACTGTACATACTTTTAAAATATTCAACGATATTCCTGGAAAATTTAGTAGCTCCCGATATGTATATTAAAATCATGTGTTCAACTTTCTATTACATTAAAATTAAGAAAATAAAACGTGTAATCATATATGTCACTGTGAACGACAAATATTAAAATGAATTCATATTTTTCTTTAACTTTATATGTATATGTATATTATATTATATGAGGAATTTAATAAATCTGGTTTTTATATGATAAATTAAAGATTAACAAGTCATATATACCTCGTGACTGAGCTCCAACTTCGATAAATATCAAAAACTAAATTAAAAAGCAGTGCAGTCAGTCCCGTCTCCTTAGCCAGCATACTGAGACCAGCTAACACAACACTTGACCACACACGCCTGCGACTAGAAGATCTGGAAATTTATACAAATTTAAATGAAACTAATATTTTCGGAATTTACTTCGCGTTCTTAATTTTTAATTACAAACTACATACTCCCGACGTTTCGGCTACTTTTCATCAACCGTGATTACAGGCAGACGACATGTGAGTGTCTGTCAGTTGGTCTTGTTATTTTATCATCTACCGCCATCGATTTCTTAATTTTCTAGCGTACCGCTCTGGATGCCGGCAGAATGCGCTCACGGTGTCTCGAGGTCCCGCGGTGTGGTCAGGGACATTTGATTTTATATTTTTAATAAGAGGATCCCAGGTGTTTGATAGGTTCCAGCCATCTTCTCTATTGAAATTGGGGTGTTTTTAATTTTAATAGCCTCTCGGATTTATCAAATCTAATAAAAAAATAATTTAGTTCTTAATGCAAATAAATCAAAATATATGATACTGGGTAGCAAACATCAACGTGAATGTATTAAGGGACATAACATACCGATTAAAATAGGCAATGAATCTTTAGAACAAGTAAAAGTTGCAAAAAATCTTGGTCTATACGTTGACGAAAATCTCAGATTTATAGAACATCTAAATCTGAAAACAAAAAATGATTTTTATAAATTAAAGGTTCTATATAGCTTGAGACCTTTCATGTCTGAGAAAGTGAGAGTTACCTTGATTGAGTCACTTATTTTATCGATTTTTAATTACTGTGACACAGTATATGATCCCAGATTATTGAAAAAGACAGAAAAAGCTATACAAAGAGTTCAAAATGCTTGCAATAGGTTTTGTTTTGACGTACCTAAGAGGTCATATATATCTCCTTTTATTAGTTGTCACAATATTTTAAACATGAAATCCCGTAGGAACCTTCATTTACCAGTATTTTTACATAAAATTGTGCGCAGCAAAAAGCCGAATTACTTATATCAAAAGCTTGACTGGCTAGAGAATAGAACGTACTAGTCCGAGAAACTGAGAAGCTTAAACTATTAATTCCTAAACATAAAACAGCAGGATTTAAAGGTGCTTTCAAATATGCTGCAGCAAAAATTTGCAATAACCTACCATCTCCCCTACGTGATTGTCATTTTTCAATTGTAACTTTAAAAAAACACCTTTAAGAAAATTACCTACGTCTACAAGTAGAAGCAGCTACGTAAGAAAAACAACTTTATAAATGAATGCGAATGAACCAAAATATGAAAGAATAGAATCCTAAAAACTTAAACGACTCTTAATTTTTATTTAATCATACTTTCAATTGTCCTAATCCTGATGTACACATAAGAGTTATGGTTGTTATGATGCGAAGATGTGGGTCCGTGTAATAAGTTTTTGTCGTTCTTTTAATGTTTAGTTTTAATTTAAATTGTTTATTTACTTCTTTTTGAGTTCTATAATAATTTCACCGGTCTCTTTTTTACTTGCTTTTAAATCAGTTTTTATTTTGCATCACTTTAATATTGTACGGAACGGTGCGGCGCATTTAACTAAGGCAACATAATGTAGAAGGAGCAAGCTGAAAATCAGCTGGGCATAGCACAGCATATAGCTGAGCTTGTAACCAATTGCGATATGGTCGTCAATGAAAACGAGTGGTAAATTAAGAAAAAAATGTTTGCCAGTATGAATAATTTGTATCTCCTAAAAATATGTATGTTTTTTTTAAAAGTTACTTTTTAATGTACGACCTATCTGAAGCAATAAAGTTTTTATTATTATTATTGTTATTAATGTAATGGCCTGGTTTGTCCAATGCATGTTCACACACAGATGACTTCGAAGCGCGCCTATTCCTGACGTCTGAAATGTTAAAACCATCGGTGATTCAGTAAACAATGTAAATAATACGAGTTATATTAAGAATAAATGCCACATAAGTAATTGCGATTCACAGCTTTTAGTGTTTCATAATTTAATATGAGATAAATACTGAAGAGTTACAGAATTATAGATTTATTTAGTAAATAAAATAAAAATGCTTTTGGACTATAAAAAACAATTACATGTATGTAACAATAAACCATAAAAATGTCTCCAATCAAATATAATGCACTTTTCCTAGTTGTTATTGGAACTACACATTTTTAAAGTGAAAGGTAAAATGGATATGGAGGCAAAAGTTTGGGCCATAGTATAATTTGTATTAGTAAAAAAAGAGTTAGTGTTGGTGAAGTGTAATAAATAAAAGTCATTGTATCTGCTATAGGTTGATTTAGTTAAAGTCATTGACCCTGGGAACTGGATGCCCAGGTTCTGGCGGAGGTTTACCACCAGCGCGCGCGAGATCGATCCCGGGGAACGAGTCCGGACCGGGATCGGGTGGATAGTTGGCGACGATCTGCGCGGTCGTCCTTGTTCCATCGGTGGAGGCAAAGGCTCTCTGAGCCAGTGGCCGGGTTGCGAACCGTGGAGGCTATTCGCCCGCTCCTCATGGAGTGGGTGGACCGCCGACACGGATCCTTGACCTTCCGGCTGGTGCAGATCCTCTCGGGGCACGGTTGCTTCGGGAGGTATTTGTGCCACATAGTCGGGAGAGAGCCGACAGCGACGTGTCACCACTGCAGTCGCGTGGAAGACACCGCTGACCACACCTTGATGGAATGTCCAGCGTGGATATCCGAGCGTAGCCAACTCATCCGCGTGGTTGGCGCAGACCTTTCGTTGCCGGCAGTGGTCCAGGCCATGGTCGGCAGCGAGAGGGCATGGCAGGCGGTGGCCGACTTCAGCGAGAGAGTCACCTTGCAGAAGGAGGCTGCTGAACGAGTGAGGGAAGACGACCCCTCCTCGGCGCCGCTGCGCCGACGAAGGCTGGGTCGAAGGCAGCGGGCTTATGCTCGCGACCTGCCTCCCCAGTGAGGAAGCCTCCGGGCTTCGGTGGGGAACCGGCGTCCGGGTAACATAGGCTAGAGGAAGAGCGGCGTGTTTGGCGTTCCCGGCACGCTGCTCTTGAGTCGGAGGGGTGGTGTGGTCAGCCACTGATACCCCTGCCGATGGCGGAGTCCCTTTCGGGACTCGTGCGTAGTGAGCGGAAGTATGGCTTGCCGTTCCCGCTCACTAGTCTACGCACAGCGCAGAGAACGTCGAGGTGGTTTAGTGGGTGGAAATCCCACATGCCCCTGTCGCGTTTCCCCCGCGGCAGGAAGTCTTTAAAAGATTCCCCTCGTAGAAAAAAAAAAAAAAAAAAGTTAAAGTCATTGAGAACTTTAGACGACTATTCAAGATAATATCTTACATTTTGGTTTCAATTAACTATTACCTAACATATTAAAGTTGACTCGAATGAAAAAGATTCTTTATACACTTCATGACGATAGAAAAGTTGTATTAAAAGTTTTTTTTACACTTGCTTGTAGCCTCATAATTTAGACAGTGAATTACATAAAATATGTACCTGCATTTGTCAACCAATATTATTATCTAACAACTGCATCTATATAAGACCAACAGTTTATAAAATAGAAGTATATTTGTAAATGGTTCAAATAATATCAACTGAATACTTTTTTATAATTTTGTCCTTATAATATCAGAATAACATGTAGTTTATTAAAACACCTGTAGTTTCCGTAGTTACCTACGTCTTGTATATAGTTTCGTGGTATAGATCATAGATGTCACTGCCAGTTGTTTAACTGTGTTTTTGTTTATTCTTCTTGACTTTTGAGATAGAAAAAGCTAAGTCAAAAGTAATCGTCATTTAGTTAAAATTTTAATATAAAACTCCAAATTGAAATATTAATCAATATAAAGATTTTCCTTAGCACCAACATTTACACTCATTTCTTTCTTTTAAAATGTCTATAATAGGGTCTTAATTTTAGGTAATAGTGTATCAATCAACTGATTTATAAACATCTTTATACCCAATACTTATATGTAGACGATTAATTATTTATGTCATCTCCATAAGGACGTTCCTACTTACTTTTATAAATAACGAAAAATATCAACAGACAACCACAATTTGCTATCAAACATTCTAAGTGGAGCTTCCGTTTTTACAACTACTTTTTATATCTAAGAGAGGTTTATGCAAACAAAAAAATGTATATATTTTATTAACAGATTTTATTTCACGTAAAAGTAACAAATACTTAAATGTTTTCAGCGAAAGGTATGTTTTGTTATGTGTATCATTATGCTGACATAATTGTATTCTTATGTTCTAAACACAAGATTGATTAAAAGCATAACGTAAATGCCAGGTATATGGAGAGTATTTTTGTAGACGGTAATGAAATATATTAATCATACAAGATATTGTTTGACTTAATATTAAATATTTACAGTATATTATGCGTACAATTAGTTAATCAAATTGTTTGTGATCAAGTTAGTTAGTAGAACTATAATTTCAGACGTTTTAAACTCGCACATTAAGTTCCGTACATTATCACCATGAATTAATACATCGATTACTTATATTATTCTAAATATTTATTTTATATACATATATTTTACAATTCCAGTATGGCACGCAGTTTCATAACTATAAACATTGTTGATAAATAAACATGAATAAAATAATCTTTGGTAATTTAAGATGTTTTTATCAAATCGCTAACAAGCGGCAGAGGATCTGGTTCTTTTATTTTGTTTTTCTTATGTAAAGGGCTACTCTTCTGTTTGGGTCCCGCCTCGGATTTATTATGGATAGGTTTGTATTGAGCAGATATTGATACGCTTTTTTTATTATCTAATTTTTGGCAACTTGTGTTTATATTTAAATCACTGGATACAGTTATTGTTCTCGTGTGTTTCACTACACTGTTTTGTTTTAACTTCTCCGGCGACACTTCTAGTTTACTGTGATGCAAACAAGTGGACGTCGTCTGAAATTAGAAATTAATCAAATTAAGAATTAATATGATAATACTCTTAATAATAACATTAATATTGATAAAAAGTTCTATATTATCGCAAAAATATAAAGCAGCAATGATTATCAAATGAAATTCAAATGATTTATTAAATGAAGTTTATCATTTATTTTCTATAATTTTGATAAATAAGATAATGTCATAGGGACTAATTTAGGCTACTTTTAACGGACTTCCAAAAGTGTGAAGTTCTAATTCCTATATTTCTTACGATAAAACTTCTTCAACTAAATAGGAATGACTTTGTAATTTCGGATACATCAAAACAGGATACAACGAAGGGATCTTCGAGAAATAAAATTAAAACCTCATAAGGATGATATCGCCTATCTCAGAGAGGGTTTAATTTGCCAAATTCACAGGATACAACCAATAATATCTTCATATATATTAACAATGTATCGTAGTAAAGTATAATATGTATAATATTACTACAGGAGTCCTCGCGTATCTCGCCGCTCGTCCTTCCAGTTCACTGCGGAGTCTCCAGGCCGCGGCTGCTGCTCGACGTCGAGACGCTGACACCTCACCACCCACGAGGGTGTGCCAGCTGGAAGATATTACAGTTTGATATAGGAAGTAGTATTAAACTTTCATCGAAAACATAATAAACTAACATACACATACAGCCTTGGCCAAAAGTATTAGGCACCCAAAAAAAAACTTACAACTATAGATCAAAACAACTTTTATTTTTCAAAGTGATTTATTAATATTAATAACATATAAAATAAACAAAAAAACTTAAAATCTAGTTGGCTCACAAGTTTAGTACAGTCATGCCTTGTAATAGAAGCCATTCTTGCACCAACGCATTTTATATGTATCGTTTCTTGATTTGAATAGTATGAATTCTTGTATCTTATTCATATAATTTAATAGTCTATAGAAGAACAAGTGGTATCGAGCCTAATTTTATATGTGTACTATTTTACAACTCAAAACTTAGAGATACATATAATATTATAAGTTTTCTTTCATATGAATAAAGGAGGTTTGATGATAAAAAACTAAAACATTTTAATTTTTGTAATTATATGTTATGATGTGGTTATAATATTCCCGGGAAGATACATTTGTATTTCAGTATTACGGTTATTCTAAAAAACAGAAAAAATTAAGTAGTCAGACTCGTATAGTAAAAAATATGCAGACTTTTGAATAGAATCAAAATTAGCAGTAGGTACCTCAAGATGACATATACGATCAGGGAGAAGTTCTTGTTAAGAAAATGTTCATTAATAGCAGACGATATTAATTAATATTAATATTACCTCGTCGTTAGCTGCAGAAGTCTCACTCGTTGACCAGCCGACCTTAATAAAAGACCGGCTGCCCTTAGCGGTGGTAGCGCGCCACGAGACAGTAATGACACACGGATGGACCGTTTATAATACGAGAGAGATAATGGCCAGAGACCTGAAAGAATATTTAGTAAATAGACACGACATTATTAGAGTTTCACAACTAGTAAACAAGTTAATTTAAAAGAAAAGTTCTTTTAAATCGACGTCTCATGTTGAAACGAAACAAAAGTATAATATCACGAGAGTTGTATCTGTATTTATTAAGTCTATATTAATAAAATTATTTGCTATATGTAACAGATCTGAGTTATGAAAACGATTAATCTTGTTAGTTGTTAAATTTATTGAACATATCGTCAACCTGTAATATTTATTATTGAGATTAAAAATTGCAGATTTAAATAACAAACTGTTAGGACGAAAGATGTTATTAGAAATGCAATATGAAGTGTAGTAATTATAAATTATTATTATTTGTATATCATGATCATAAAAATAATATAATTGGTGTTAATAAAAAGATATGTTAGTATCTTGTATCGAAGATACATTTAGCATCTATGATAACCATTTTCTTCTCTATTAGTAAACTATTTCGTGACAGCCTTTAATTAGAAGATTATTCATCAACCAAATAAAGAAAAGAACAAGGATGTCCACGCTTAATAATTTATTAGTTATGATAACTTAAAATAGCATATTGGATCTTTTATGTTATTATAGTAAACTGAAAAATATTGTAATTTATATTTGGAGATAGAATATCGTTTATATCACCTCTTCCTTTAAGCCAGTTTCCATACAAGTAGTAATGTTCCCAATTCATCGGTTCCAATTCAATCAATCTCTCAAGTGTGGGTCTCTTCTCGTTTTCGGGTGTAATGTGAAGCAGTTCAATGTACGCCTGAACGAACCTCGGCTCCAAAGATATACATCGTTCCAACATCTTTAATGATTCAGACACGCGATTCTTTTTCCTGTAATTTATAAGCATTTTATTTAAGAAAAGTATTCAAATCACAAGTCTATTGAATTCTTTGGTTAAAGTTTATTACGTTAAAAAACGTTGCAAGTATTTTTTTTTTTAGTTAAAATTGTATTAAGTTTTCCCTATACCTAATTACTTATTCAATGCCAGTAGTTTGTCTTAGCATGTTTGTTTAGTTAATATAATCCTCCGGCATGATAGAAATTGAGTTATCCTCAAAGTAAATAAAGCTGTTATCAGTTATTCCCTGCATCTATTAATATTATAAATCAGTTCCTCTCTCGTGTATACAACCTGTTTGTCTTTAGCGTTACATATGAATTTATTTAACATAAATTGATTTGACGCAAAAATACAGTGGGACCTTAAAGTTAACGGAAAAACAACGTTGATAAGATGTAAGACTTTCAAGAGTGTTTATTTAAATTAAACTAGTATTTTTCATTTTACTAAGAGATGTCTCTGTTGCTACTGAATAGGGTTGCTGAAAAGTGACCGAAACGAAGTAG